TTAATTGACCAACAAGGTTAACATTACTCAATATTATGATGCAACTCTTAAAAGAGCCAAAACTATTACTTGGTATAGTAAGTGTTATCTAATAAATGCTATGAAAATCATTTAACCATTTAGAGGTAATAAATAAGAATAAAAACAAAGAAAAATGTAGAATTTCCCAGTAATATAAATTTCAAGTTAGTAGTAATAATATGTATATATAAAAAACTAAGAAAATCAAGAAAATAAAAGTGGTATTTATTTCACAGTAAAATAATGAATTATGTCACAAAAGAAAAGGTAATAAATTTAGCTTCATAAGAATTAGAAACAGTTTTATATAGAGGAGCACTGGATAAAAGTAAAAAACAAGCTTCATATTAAATTATTGTCATTATTAAAGTATTTTAAAGTTTGGTTTAGTTACCATAAATCTAAAGAAGAGTGGACCAATCATTTTGCCAAAAATAATTTTAGGATGCGTGTTTTAGGCCAGTCCATACTGTAAGTAGTGTGATTCAACAGAAAGCCAAGGAGCTGTTGTGAATCTTCACAGTCTGTTAGGGATTGGCTGAGTATGAATAATATTTTAGATGGTAACAGAGGCTTTGGAGGAAATAAAGGCAGCTAAGAAGGTGAAGAAAATGTTGGTCACAGGGATTTGTCTTTTTCTATTTCCAAGACTTGCGTACTGAGCAAGAAGGCATTCTGGTAAGGTGTCAGAAGTGTTCTTCCTTGTCTTTGTCAGCCAGGAGACACTGTGACTAGAGAGATTCCCTCAGCCCCTCCCCTGCACTGGCTCAGCTCAGTGCACACACACATGCACACACACACACTTGCAAGTAGGTCTTTGCTTTGCCTGATGTTCCAACTTGCTAATCAATGACTTCTTTCAAGATAACTCTGGTGGTGTTGCAAACACATTTAAGGTGACAAGTAAGTTTTGCAGACACTGCACATTCCCTGAAGTTCAGAGAAATGCTGACATGCTGTAAGAAGAAAACAAATTGCATAAGCTTCCTAGCAGAGGCAGGGAAGTTTTGCTTTTTTCCCATTCTTTTGCTTTATTTGGGGCTGTATGTTTTGAAGTAAAGATGAGGGGATATTCTGGACTGTTCTTTTTTCTCTATTTCTGTATCTGCTCTCCTGAGCTTGTAAGGAAATGATTTGCTTCATCTGCAGAATAGAAATGACTGATTTGTATACCTCAAACCAGAGCTAATGACTGACCATCCTGGGAATTACAGGAGAAAGAACCTGTATTAGGTGGAAGTGAAACTCACATTGACCTATGAGCTCGGTTTATGATACAGGTGTTACCTCGATCAAAAGTGTCTCAACAGAGAGGTTCTCAAATATATTTTAAGAATATATTGATAAGAGCTCTTTTCTAAATGCTGTAAATGTTCTTTTTGTGTGATTAGATCAAAAGATGCACTGGAGGATGAAGATATTGAAAGGGGAGTCATCTCCACTTGTCCATGGGGCACTGGTCTTGGGGTCCTATGTAGAAATTATACCTCTACCTCTGACAATTCAGAGGAGCTAGAATCCTTATGGCAGCAAGCTTATGATCATGGATAATAACATCGTGCAGTCATACAGGTACAGCGTTCCTTTATTTTTCTGGATAGCTGTTAAGTAGTTGAGGCTACATTAATTTCTGACCTTTGTATATTTAGTCACTTTTTAAAACAAAAGCATGAATCATCAATAAACACTTTTCCTCACGATGTCTTTAATGCAGCCAGGGAAGCATTTGAGCACAAAGGAGTTTATATCTCTTGAAACTGAATGATTAACATTTGCATTTACTTGAAATTGGCCACAAGATTGAAAATCAAATCAATGCGACATTTCCTAGGGACACTGGATCTGAGTCACAGGTTCTAGTTTAGCTCTTTCTATCATTTGGTTTATGTTTAAAGAGAGCTTGAAAATAGAAAAAGGAATGTGAAATGGTATAGAGTAACCTCAGTGGAGAAGATGCAGGGAAAGCAGAATTTTTAAGTATTTTAGACCTTAAAATCTATTTGTTCACTTATTGTATCAGAAAGTGTGTGTGTGTGTGTGTGTGTGTGTAATATCTACAAAAGTATGCATGGGATTATCTGATAGAGTATTAATTTAATAAATTATCTGAACAATTTATATTGAGACATTTTTTAGGGGTGTGGGAGCACAGCTGTAATCAAAGCAAAGTCCTCGCTTCATTTGGGTAAACTCAATACATGATAAATACACAAGGATTATCTTACACAATACCAGAATGAAACATTAGTAGGGGAGAGATAATGAGTTAATGTGCTGTTTCAAAAAATAAAATACAGGGAGGAGAGGACACTTCAGCGGAGACATGGGTGAAGTAATGGAGTGTCATACTGATATTTGGGGGCAGGGACTTCCAATAGAGGACCCAGTAAGCGGAAGATTTCAGACGAAGATCTGCCTTGCATGACTCCTCTCCCTCTCCATCACTGAAACACTTTGAGGCTTGGCTTACTGAGCTTTAGCATGGAGATGACAATATTTGATCTTCCCATCCACTGGGGGTAGGTCTGAGTATAGAGATTTTTGAAGGCTGACAGGTCCGGGCCAAAATGTCATATCACATGAAAGGTAGCTAATGGCACACACAGGTGCATCAGAGAAAGGCAGAAAGTCTTTGGAGCTCACTCAGAGGTCAATAACAGATACCAGTGCTAACTGTAACAATTTTATAATGTTCTCAAATTAATGGAAGACACCATTAAATAGTTTTCCGTCGACTCCCGCAAGTACCTAATTATGTTTAGCTGTTCTTTACCTTTTTGATGTGTCACAAGCTTGGGTTTTTTTCATGGTTCTGTGGCTGGGCTGTGGATCTGATTGCTAGGTTAATGTTTCAGGAAGAGTTATACTGCTGACGGCTTTGTAGTTTTTACAGTCCATTCAAGTCCACTCTGCTCACTTGCTAGCTAGTGAGTGACCCTAACTAAAGACTCTGAACTTCATGTGTTGGCTTGAGGGAAACATATTGCTTGCTTCTTGAGGTGTTTCTCTCTCCCCTCCTTTCTAGCTCTTGCCTTGACTTGGGTCCCTGAAATAGACTTGTTATCTGAGGAGATGACTAAAACCATAGATCTCTTGGCCCCACCTCCTGAGCTTTTGATTTCCTAGCTTTACAGTGACACTGAGGGGATCTGTGTTTTATAAGTTCTGTGCTGAGAAACACTACCTGAATCACCTTTAAAACAAATAGCACTTTACTAGAACTGGTCTCTGGCCTGGAAATCTAAGCTTTTTCAAATGTCTTTGCACTGGGGACCTTGAACTGACAAGAGAGATATTCTGGCTCAGTCTTTTTTGCAATTAACTTTACTGTCTTGATCTTTTTCATCTTCCTACCATGCTATTTTCCTGAATTAAAGTATTATAAGAATATATAATATATATCCTTATAAAAGTTATTTTATCTCTCTATAACTAGCTGTATAGTGAAATCAGCAGGAGAGTTAACCTTCCCTCCAATTTTCCTTGTCTAGGATAGGCATTGTGGGGAGTGTGTCATAAGACTTGCAATGATGCTTATGTACAACTCATTCTTTTTTCTGTTCTTCTAAAACTGGTTTTCACTATGTCTTCTGCCTTTCTGTCTCCTATTGGGATAAGTGAGACTTTTGTTGCTCCTTTATAGATGTAGAAAATAGGAAGACCGTGCTTCCTGCCATGCCAAAGATTTGGTGATTGAATTGGGCCATAATTCAGAACGATTGACCTAGGGGTCAATGCCCTCTTCCGGAAAATATACTGACTCTTCTGGCAACACAATTTTCTATTTTCTCAGAAATACTGCAGGGCACAATTCTACGCCAGGTGTAGTTGTTGGCATTACAGATATGTCTTTCCTGCTCAAGGATCTCCTCTCTGCCCTCAACATGTCACAAGAGGGTCTTCGAAACACTTCATTGTGCAGGATCTCATGCTTCCCATTTGGTTGTAATCTGAGTAGGATGTAGATGATGTGGCAAGATGCAGACAAATGCTGAGTTTTTTCCTTGAGGGAATTGCCTTCTCCATTCAGATTTTATTAAATTTATCATAAACGTAGCTCCATAATTTCACAAGACATTTAGGCATGTTTTTAGCCCCTTGCATTAGTTCAATTCTGCTGTCTGTGTTTTTTTTTCTTTTATTGAGTTTATTGGTACATTCTAGGTATACAGTACAGTTACATTCATTGCTGGGATCTTGTACCTTTACATGACAGGTCTTGGTTCTCATTTTTTCCCCTTGTTCCTGCCCTCCCTTCACCCCCTCCTCCCCTCCCTGTCTGTGGATTTTTATGTACCTGTTTGGAGAGACACGTGACTTTCGAGTGGCCATGAGCTAACAGGAAAGCCAGAATCCTGAGAAGAGAAAGGAAAGCTGGGCCGGCAGGGCTGCCACCTCCCCTTGGCTCTTCTCTCAGCTCTGCTCCCTGCCCCTCAGTATAAATTGCAGGCTGTTCTCTTGCCACCTGTGCATAAGCTGTGCTCAGTACCAACGCACCACGCACAGAGGAAAGGCCGTGATATCACCAAGTGCCGAATGGGGGATAGGTCTGAACACTGGGCAGACGAATGTTCCTACAAAACAGGGACACTTGGCAGTAAGACCAGTGAAAAATGATACTAATTGTGCAAAGCAAAATGCTACCCATCAAGCAGAACATTTTAGTTCTTCCTATTCCAGGCTATTTATGACTTTTTGTCCAAGATGCAACACATGTCTATAAAAAGTGGAATCAACTCCATCTGTTGGGTAGAATGCGAGCCTGTGCTGAAAATTTTTAAAGAAGAGTAAATTAATGGGGCTGGACAACTTTACCTATTCCGTATTTTCTCTTCTTTGCATTAATTGTATGAAGAAGAGGGTGGACAATTTTATCAAAACATTGGAAATATTTAAATTATTTTAATTTATTTGAAAAGATTCTATTTTGATTGGTTATCCATATTATACTTAAAAAAAAAAAAAAATCTCTTTTCCAGGGCAACTTTTCCCTGAAGTTTTGCTTGAGATGGTCCAGGACACACAGCTGGTTTCCTAACAGACAGCCACAAGATGGCGACAATGTCACAGTGGAGAAGGGCCAGCTGCTACTGCTCGACACGAATACCAGCATCCTCAATTTATTGCATGTTAAAGGTCAGTGAAGTTGAAGGTCCCATCTGTACAATTCTATGACTTGTAGGAAGCAGAAAGGAGGGGAATGTTTCGGATAAATTCCAGCGTTTGGTTGACAATGTATTCTAAGACCAGATTTTGCAAGGAAAAAGAAGTGGGCAGAAGGTTTGAAGTAAAGGCCATCCTTTTGGCTCTTATAAGCACAGAACTTGATTATTTTAATTTTTAGAAATCAAGAAAGCTAACAGTGTTCTCAAGGGATATACTTCTTAAAAACTAGAGTACACTTCTCTACTCAAACCCTTTGTAGTCGTGCTTATCCAAGAGAGCTCCCACAATACAGAAAAATGCCTGAAATCGGCTAATGCTACTGGCTTTGAAACTCCCTGCCAAGAACACGATGTCTTCTTGCTTTTGCCCTGTTGTGGTTTTGACTTCTTGGTCATATAAATAGCCTCCCTTATTATAAAACTGGCCATATAGCTCTAGGGCCTAGGAAGTTGGAGGAGACTTGGGAATTCAAATTTCAACTCTTTCACCACATGGTCAAATGACTAAGTCAATTATTTCACCTCTCTGTCTGTGGGTTTCCTAATCTGTTAAACGAGAATAAAAACGATCTCTTACTTCAGGGGCTAATAATAAGGAATAGATATCAAGGTACTTTTGTGCAGTGACAAATGAATATTTGGGAGATATGATTATGAATGTCTCTAAGACTCAAGATTAAAAGCATCCTTTACTATAAATGAGATGTACTAGAAATATAAGGTGACCATTTAAATTTAAAAAACTGATACAATAAAAGACACATGGGCATTAATCCCCCTTAAAATATTTCCTGTCACTTTTAAACACACTCATCTCCTTGTTCTTGCCACTTTCTGAAGCTGCTTGGAAAGACTTCTTTTGTGAGTGTCTTTATGAGGTGTGATCAGAAATCTGGTGAATACTGCTGCCTAGTGCTGTGTAGTACAAAGGCAGGCTCCTAAAATCACTAAACTGTGTCCTCATCCAACTTATTCACTAGACCTGGTGTGGTACAACTTCTGCCACTTCCTCAAGTCAAAATAACCATGGAAAGTAAATGCTTTGAATTGGTTCAGAAGATGGAGGCAGCCTCTACAGCACAACTAAAGTCACTCATGAAAGAGGACTTCCAGAACTGATTCAAGAAGTGGCAAGAATGTCATGATAAATATGTTCTAAGCCAGGGGGAATGTTTTGAGCGAGAGTAATAGCAATGTGTCATTTACTATAACAATTTTAAAAAATTTGAACATTCACCATGTTTTTTGACCATACCTCACACAGCTAACACAAACATTTGTTTTTGTTAAAGACATGGCTACAAAACAAGACATCTTGAAGAGAATAAACTCATGCAATTTTAATACCTGTCTCTTAAAGATGAAATCAACATTTTTGGATGTAGTATTTTGTCATTCTATATTTTAGGAAATTTTTTTCTCTAGCATTGAGACATTTTTAGTACAGTAAGTGAATTAGCAATCTTTAGGAGGAAATTTGTCTGTCAGCTTGGACTCCTGCCCTGTAAGTGTGATGTGGGGTGTGTGTGTGTGTGTGTGTGTGTGTGTGTGTGTGCGGCTAGTAGCTATGAGAGATGTTGATCTATTGACAGCTGTCAACTACATAAGGGCTTGCGATGACACAGGAAAATTATGTACACAAGGCCTCATCTCAGGAAAAGATTCTCTTGTCAAGTCTAACCTGTGCTGTCCCATAGGAGTTAAGTTTTGCTGGGGGCTGGGGTACCTTGGGGTGTACAAAGCTCTTGACTTTATATTGCTACAACCATTTTGGAGAAATTTCCCAGCTCAAAATCTTAGGCTAAATAGTCTCGGGATGTAATATTACTTCAATTGCATTCAGTCAAGGAATGGAGTTGATAGAACAAAATAACAAAGACAGAGAAGAGGCATTGGAGGCAGAAAGGCAGGGTGATGTATACAGGAAGCTTTTCACTGTTAGAAATTTTAAGATCTGAAAGACTCAAATACATTAACTTCAGTAGTGGTGGTTCTTAATATCCCTGGATTAGATAATATTTTACTGTCATTTTATTTAGAAAAAGTGAGCTGTGTTTGGAAAGATCAACCTTCATCCTGTGGGGAGGAGAATCAGTCGTCTTCAGGAGCTACTCTTTCTCCCAGGGAGGAGGATGAGTGGGAGGAGTAGGAATACGAAGAGAAGCAGAGATTCTGTACACATAGACATAGGAACGCTGAGACTTTTGTCATGCAGATATGGGTTACAGCTTCCAGAAATAATGAGAACAGAGAAATGACACAGATCAGATAATTTGAGAATTCTTATTAAATAGCATAGGAACTCTGAAATACAAGAAAAAAATGAGGAGGGGCCGGGGATTTAGTGGTTCCACCATCTGCCTCACAAGTACAAGGTTCTGAGTTTGATTCCTGATACCATTAAAAGAAAAAATGAGGGATGACGCTTAATGTCAGTAATATGTAAAATGACGCATGTAAAACATCATTAGGAAGTAAGCAAAGACATATGATTTATAGTTCTAAAATAGGGGATGCAGCAGTGAGGCAGAATATAGACTGGAGTAATCAAGATGTCAAGGATGTAGGGTTAGAGGTGGATCACAGAGAGGATGAAGAGACATTCATTTGTATCTTAGGCATGTTTTGATCACATAGACATCAGTGTTCACACAGAATTAAAGTTTAGGGAGCTACCCCTTTCAGTTATTAAGACTGTGTCCAGTGGCTCAGGTCAGCGACACCAGAGGCATTGTGTGCTTTTTTCTTTTATTCACATCCTGTGACCATCCCATCAATGACTCCTGCTGGCTGGCACTTTAACATAAGTTCCATATATCAACACCTCCGTCAGTATCAATCTAGGCTTAACCCTTATAATTTGGCTTCGACTTTTACAAATTGCTTCTAAACTGGTTTCAGTGTTTCCAGTTCTTTGTCCTCCCCATAAGTAGAACCCTTTTTATTTGCTGTAGCAATGTACTCATTTTATTTTATTATTTTTTCAGCTTTAATTGAGTTTATTGGTACATTTTAGGGATACAGTACAGTTACATTAATGTACTCATTTTAAATGTTACATTGTCTGGCCTGCTGTGTAGCCAGACATAGTCTTACAGCTAAAAGCCAATCAATGAAATATAAAAGGAATGTTGTATAGGATATTAAAGAAATTCTCTAAAGTATAGCTGACCCAGTAGGAAGCATATTTGGTTCTTCCTCCTCTTCCCCTCCTCCTTCTCCTCCTCCTGTTCCTCCTGTTCCTCCTCTCCCTCCTCCTCCCCTCTCGCCCTCCTCCTTCTCTTTCTCCTCTCCCCCCTCCTGCTCCTGCTGCTTTCCCTTTTTCTTGTATGTAAATGTGGCAGCGAAGTTTTCAGCCACATTTCACAGCATGAAGTTGCTTGTGAAGAATAAAAAAGAAGAGTGGGGAATCCAGGAGTCTGATGACTCTGGAGTTGCCATGTTAGCTGACCACTTCAAATTGCATTTTTTTTTTTTTTGGAAAAAAACAAGACTTCATGTGTTTAAGTCATTGTTATTTGGCTTTTGTACCATATGGTATAACTTAATTATAACACTTTGTACTCTACGTCCTTTGAAAATAGGTCAGATTTTGTTACTCTCTTAAAAATCCTCTAATAGCTTCTGATTTCATGAGGAACAAATTTCAAAGTTCTGTTATTTAACCTCCAATTCCTTCTTTAACCTTGTATTCTTTTTTATGTATATATTTTCAGGGGATTTGGGGTGGTTCCCACTTTTTAAATTAATTTTATCGGTACATTTAGTATACAACACAATGACTTTCATCATTGGAAATTTGTACCTTTATGTCATCTGTTCTTATTTTTTCCCCCATTCTTCTGCCCTCCCTTCAACCCCTCCACCCTTCCCTATTTACAAAGACTTTGTTTCCCTTTTTCCATTTTCTCATATTAATTCCATTCCCTTCTTTCCTTTTCTCTACCCCTCCCTCCCACTTCCTCTTCCCCTTTGGACCTGTTCTTCCTATTTTACATTATCTGTTATACCTTTTGATACTTATTTACACCTTCAGTTTCTCACACCAGATAAGCAAGTCAGTATTTACATGTGTGCCTTACTTATTTATTCCCTCTGTTTCAGTTTTTATACAAATATGCCTGCCTCAGGACCTTTGTGTATAATGTCCTTTGCCGGATATATTTGCCCTTCAGATTTATGTGGTTGACTCCCTGATTCTATTTTACTATTGACAAAGTATGAATTTATCAGAGAGGGCTTGCTGGTCCTATCTTCAAAAATTACAACCACTCCCCATTATGCTCTTTTATTTTACTTTACTTCACAGTTCTCATGACCACATGGCATATTATAAATATTTTTTATTGCCTCCTCTACTAAAATAAGCTCAGGGAGGAAAAGAACTCATCAATTTATGTACTATTTTCTCTTCAGGATCTAGAATAGTGCCAGGCATATGATGAGGGAGAGGTCAAAATTATATGTTGATTATTGAGTGAAAGGAAAAGTAAATGGTTCAGAAAGAGGTCAGCTACCAGATGAAACAATACATATATTTTAAAAATCCTTGCTCTTTTAAATATTGTTTTCCCAATTAATTTACTTTAGCCATACTTTGTTGTTCTCAATGACACATACCTCTCCACGTACATATACCCATGCCACACACGTGTATACTCATGCGTGTATCTCATAGGTATATACATGCATAGACTAGCAAACATGTACATGTTCATATCTATTCCTACACAATATGTAAAGATACACTTGACATACTTGTATGACTATACATATCATTATGATTTCTTAGGAACATGAAACCTATTGCTAAGTTATTTTTCTGTTTCTAAAAGTCATTTGAAGAATGCTTTTATGATGAAGAATTCCAACTCTCAAATATGTGGTTGATACAGTATAACTCTCAACCTCTAATATTTATGGTCTATAATATGTGTGAAAGCACTATTAAAATATGAGATTGAATCATTA